ATATATGTATGTGTATATAAAAGAAAGATATATATATATATATATATATATATATATATATATATATATATATATATATATATATATATATATAATCATCAGAATATTAAAAAAATATGTATTTTTCAATAAATTTATGTGCATGCCTCCTGTTTGTTTGGTTTTTTTTTGTATCGGGGTTTTGTTCTGTTATTGTTGTTTTTTCCTTTTCTGTATAAATAATCAAAAATATCTAATACAGAAATGTGGGGTTAATAAACAACATTGTAAATTATATCTACTTAATCCTTGCAGGGCCTTAGGTGGAATAGTGCATATTTCCACCAGTGAGTGTGCTGGTAAAACATGGCGGTGCAAAACATTTGATGACAAGCTCAGCTATAAGACATTTTCTTATAGCTGAGGCTTACAAATCTCTGGAGGGATTTTGGCTCTTTCCTCAGTACAGAAACTCCCTAAACTCTCTGGGAGAAGGAGGATAAATACTCCCAATGACATGCGATTGATTGTTTAATTTTTTTAGGGATTTCTTTTTTCAGCATTTTCAGTTGATGAACGATCTTTCTTCAATTCAAAAAAGAACAAACAAAAAACATTTGCATTAAAAAGCTCATAAAAGTTTATTTTGATGAAAAAAGACAAAACTTACAAAAACAACACTGCACCAAATAAGTGCACCTTTAGACATCCAAGCCCATTTTAGCTTCAGTTTATGTTAGAAACAAAGTTTGCTGTCACTGTTAGGTTTTCAGGAATGTGTGTTTGTCTGTGCACATACTTGCAACACTGGGTTATATATTTTTTGTTTTGTTGTTGTTGAAAGATTTACATCGAAGCATTATACCTTTATGAGTTGAGTCTTGTCTTGTTCATGTCTGCCAAGCAATAATGAGTCAACACACACAGAACCTTTGTCTGTGCCTGATTTATTGCCCACACTGTGGCTCAGCTGTTTAGTTGCATGAACAGTGCAAACGTTGCAATAAAAAAAATAAAATTACCTTTGCGCACATGAAGTAACATGCTTTTAAATCTGGTCACAATTTAGAGCAATAATGTTTAATTTTTGTAACTATAAAAAAAAGTATTTACATATACATTTGAAGGTATTTACGTACGTATTAAACAAAAAGGTTAGGCCCTTTTTATTACTGTGCAATAATTAGTCTAATTTATTGTCAAAATTATTTATATTTTCTTTCTGCAAGAATAAACGGATACCTAAGATTATAATACCTTTTCATAATATACCTAATGATCGTGTCTTGAATTTGTAAGCTTTTTACATGTTAAACACTGTTTTCTATTGAGTCTCTAATGTTTAGATGACTGAAGGTGCCACACTCATCTGTTAAAACAGTTACAGCATATGCAAATGAAAATGTGTCTTACAAAAGTCAGGTTGTCTATTCTAACAAGGTCAGCCTGTTTACGATAAGGTGAAATACAAATAAATGGAAGGAATTAACACCATGGGAATGTCCCGTCACCATACTGTTCCGGAAGGACATGGATTCTCTTGGGTTAACCCCAGAACAAAAACCAAACAAAAGGCCACTCTTAAATTCAAGATTTAAAAGTGGCCAACTCAAAGGTGTGCAAACAAGGCCGACTACAAACCTAACTCAGCTCTGTACGGAGGAGTGAGTCAATAACGCAGTGTTTCAAAAACAGTAGGGCTTACCGAACAAATCTCCAAGTCTCTCCTCTGAACTCTCCAAAACAGTAGGTGGATTGTGTTTTACCTAGACAGAAATTCAGTACAATTCTGCTTATTTATATTATGGCAATTGATGTCTCAACACAGTAAAAGACACACAGATCTAATTTAAATGTAGAAATGTACAGATGAAAACGCTACAACGAAAACACGTTTGCTTTTTTAACCCGTTTGATGTTTTTCTTTTTCTTTAATATTGCTGTTAGTGCAGGCTGTCCTTTATTTTGATGTGTTTCTGTTATAGCCAGCCACACTCTGTCAACCCTGCTCATAGAGAGGTCTCCCTGACAGCAGTCTCTCCTGCTGTAATTCACAGTTTGACCATCTTTTAGTTTGCTGTGTTTTTTCAGAGATTATCTGTCTCATGTTAGGACAGTGAAAGTTTTAATACGTAGGTAAAATTTATTTTTTTAGGTTAGATGCTGCAGCTTTAAACAGGTTCGGTGTGAGAGTCACTACCAGGTGGAGCAGAAGCGGCGCTCCGTCTGCCAAATATTACTACCTGTAGTATAGCAGCAGTTCAACAGCGAGAGCAGAACCAGCGCCTTACATCACAGCTCGAAGACTTAAATAATTTTGCGGATTATTTGTTTAGCTTTCTGACAGTCATGTTAATCCGGGTGAGTGTTTGTAGCTGTGAGTCTCGATGTAGCCAAACTCCGTCAAGTATGGCTTTGTTTTTATGCCATATTAGATTCGTTGTGTTGATGCATTTTGACGTGCTTCACCCCACGTGCTTCAAATTTCCGCCGCAACACCTAAACTCCTCCATTCACTCAGTGCGTTATAGTTCCACATCACTTAGGATTTGTTGCTACGCGTTTGCGCAGAGTGAAGGAAAGAGGAGACCAGCTGCACAGGCAGGCTGAGAAATGCGATGCAGGTGATCGGTTTGTGTGATCGGCAACAAGAGACCGTGATCGGCGATCACCGATCATACACTTTTTCACAGCAATCGGCCGATTATGATCGGTGGCCGATTATGATCGGTGGCCGATCGACCGGCACACCTCTAATCTATTTCTTAATCTAACTGATGCTAAGGTTGAACGAAAGTGGACAAACCAAAGGTTACTGCATATGCTAACATATAGACCTACAGTATAAATAAACTAACAAGCTTAAACTTTGTAAGTGAACACTGTAAGAAATCCTTATGCTTGCTCAGATAAATAAAGGTTTCAAGGAAACCAAACATGTCTTACTTTATCACATAATGACTACCACATAGCAAATGTTCTAATTTGATTTCTTCATCCAGCTTTTCATCACTGGTTGTTTTTTTTGTGTGTTTTTTTTTTCTTTGCTTGAAGGCAAATCAAGTCTCCAAATATCCAGAAGCAGATTGTGCCTGGCGAGATGAGGAAAGATGCCTTGGCAGATGGACATCCACACTCTTTATCACAGGTTGGAATGACATTATGTGTGTGCGCAAATGAGTTCATTTGTGGTGTCGGGACAACATTCTCCTCACATCATCACACCAGTACGTTACGTGATTCCTGCCAGGACCAACAGGAGTGTCTTGCTTTTCTGCGTCTCATCTCTTTCCACGTCATTCACATGGAAAGTCATTTGTTTTGGACAGTGGCTTGTCTAAGGTATTTTAGACTTTTTCATGCTTTATCTTAACCCTTTGGACATATCAGAAAGTAGTACAACAAATACACAATAAACTAGTATAGAGAACAGAGTTTGTCAGCAGTTTGATGCACCACTTTTGATAAATTAGGTATCTAATTCTGAGTCAGGTGCTTTACTCTCCCCGCATGCATTACTCGGTGCATGCTTTTATTCTGGGCTGGGGAGATCTGCTGAGAGACCACTACAGAGTGCAGTCATGCCAATTCACTCCCAGAGGGCCAATGAAGTAGCCTCTATATTCCCTCAAGCAAGCACAGAACAGGACCCTGTCTGTAAGCAGAACTGTTGTATTCTCCCCCCGCCATCTTTGCTGGCAGACCCCAACCAAAGCACTGTAAAGGCTGACAACTAGCCAGCTGTAGATGATTTTTATGGTGTTGTTGACCAAAGGAAATACTAATTTTAAAGCATATCCAGTTTCAGATTCCAGTCATTGACCAATTATGTTCCACCGTCTCTTTGGCAGCTGTTTTATATGACTGTTCTCCGACAATGGATCCAACGACACAACAGTTTTTTGTTTTTTTTTGCCCCAGTTTCTAAGACAACAATTAGCCTAAACTGTCAGCAAAACTTTAAGTGTAATAAATTCATGTATACCACAGAAAGAGGCATTCAGGAATGCACTGCTTCATTTGTTTGTTGATGACAAGCTTTGAGGAATTTGAAAATCAGCTAATGAAACACAGCTATTTTTTTTCCCAACAAGACAGCTTTTAAATCACATTTTGAACAGCATATCTAAGTGATCTCAAAACTGTGCCTTTTGTTGTTTAATTACACACCGCCAAATACACAGAAACAGTTTATTTGATCAATTAGGCTTTCTTATCTGTTTTAATCCTCATTACAGAAGGAAATCACCATTTAATCATTTCCCGCTTATCCTTCACGGATGGCTTTTTTTTTTCTTTTTCTTTTTCCAAGAAACTCCACTACAGCAGATAACAGAATCACACAAGGAATATCTGTAGTCTCCACTCTCCCTCTAATCTCTTGTTCATAAAATAGGACTATACAGTGGCGATTTCTGAAATGGGCAACATGGACACGGTTTCTGAAATGTTGTTCGTCCAGGGCAGCAAACAGGCTAGGACCACCCCTGGGGGTATAGCTAATGTTCCTCAGACACTCTTCACAAGTAAATCACAATTTTGTGTCCTTATATTTTAGACAACAACACAGGCTACTACAGAGCTATTAGAACAGTGTACAAGGAACTACACAACAGCAAACAATAACACATTATTTGGATGATTCATCCATTTGTTAAAGGTTGCAAATCTTGCTCATTTTAGAAAACTATGAGTTAAATTTAGAACGACTGTGTAAAATATAAATAAAGTTAAGACCAGCATCATCTTTACCATCGGTGGTGAAACAAAAATCACTCTTTGAAAAAGGAGTTGCATCAGGGCCAGCACAAATTAACCCAGGTAATATCTATAAACTTGTAGGCTTCTGTCAAATGTTATATGCTAATATCGATGATGACAGAATATAAATACATTAAAGTCGAGGACATGGCAGCAGAGAGAACATTTGTTCTGTTGCATAAACATAATTGTTAGTTGTAAAACTTAAGTTGTTGACAAGAATTTAGAAAAAGAAGAAAGTTACGAGGGGTTTGTGGAATGTAGATGAATATTTAATGTGCCTGTTCTACAAATGGAGGGCCTAATGATTAGAGGGCTGGCATTAATTTGCCACAAACTGTGATCTGGGAACTATTAGACATGCTCTGATCTAAATGGTCAGGAAAGCACAAATCACAGTAAAAAGGCCTGCGATATGTGTTGGATCCAGGGGACTTAAGCTTTAGACAGTTTGAAGCAAGAACTTCAAATTAGAACGAAATTTTACAGGAAACCGGTTCACGTAGAAGGGCACATTGGGGATGTTTTCATAACTCTCAGTTCTGTAAATTAGCATAGCAAAGAACTAACCCTTTGTGACAATGATGGCTCAGACTGATACTTGAGTAAATCACTCTATATGAATAAGATGGCAGTAATGCGTTTATGACCGACCATCATTAAGGGGGAATTATTTAAGTCTGTCAAGTTTATTTAACAACACATTTCAGCAACAAGTTAGTTCAAACATAACTAAGTAACCGATTATGAAACAATCAACAAAGCATTTTGTCAAATGCCAACAAAAGAATAATTATCATCAAATGTACACTAAATATGTTGATCAGTGTTTCAGTTATTATTAATCAAAGACAACTCTAAATAGGTGGGGGGGGGTTTAGGGACTCAGTGTTTTGGCTGTTTTGCAGTTTTCAGGAAGTTTGTTCCAGATTAGTGACGCATAAAAACTGAACGCTGCTTCTGTATGTTTGGTTCTGGTTCTGGGAAAACAGGGTAGATCAGAAACAGAAGATCTGGTCTGGATGGTTGATAAACAATAATAGATATTTAATGCATTTTGGTGCTAAGCCGTTAAAGTCTATTCTCTGAGCCAGTTTATAGACTTTAGAGTCCCTTTTGGGGAGTCATGTTCTCTATTTTCCTAGTTTTAGTGAGAACGCGAGCAGCAGAGCACTGGATCAGATGCATGGACGAGTTTCTTGTGAGCTTGTTGAGCCATTCGTTATTTTATTCTAGATATGTTCTTCAGGTGGTAAAAGTCTGACCTTGTAATTATATTCATGCTTCTTTGAAGATTCAGGTTTGAGTCCCATGCTACAGTCTGATTTCTGGACTAATCACTAGTTTTGTAATGTAAACGTTGAGCCTGTGAGCTAGCTGTTGCTCATTCCACTTTTTTGTGTTTAATCTCGGAAAACCGAGATGTTATAGTGAGACTGGTAAAGGTGAAACAGTGCTCTGATTGATATTAATAGTACTAAAGGTCAGCCTGGAAGAACTAAGTTAAAATCTGCTGTACACGCAGATTTTAACTTTTAAAAGTTATGTGTGATTTTAAAATCACACATACACGCTCTCAGTGGGGCGTGTATGTGTGAGTGTGTGCAGGCACTTTTTAAAATCACTTTAAAAAGTGGTGTCTCTGTACAATGAAGTACTTTAAAACAAGGCTCGACACTGTTAGACGCTGATATCAATCATAAATTATATCAGCTGTTTCATGATTTTTATTTTTTTATTTTTTGCCAGAACTTTAGACAAAGAGTAGCTGTGTTTGTTCTGAATGATAGGGGGCCCAAATTAGTTGTTTTCTTATGCAACGGATTAATCATGGTGTGTTTAAAACTGCCAGGAAAAGAACCAGAGTCTCATGAATTATTTATCTAAGATAAAAGGGTCTGGCTAACATTGAATAATATTCGCAGTCTAAGGGAAATAGTATCTACAGTGCAGACAGAGTTCATGTGGGGAAACTGTATGTTAAACATAGCATCATCCAGGCCACTATCTGCAAAGATCCTTTCAGTGCAGTCTGTACGCTGCATATTTTTGCTTGATCCAGCACTAAAGTTGTGTTATGGCCACTGCCTCTGTCTGTTTCCCCATGCGGTCTTTCTTCTTTGCCTTTATCTCTGGTTCCATCAAGAACATAGCACGCTCCAAGGGTAAACACACACAAATAAAGTTGCCCTGTCATTCCAGGACAGTTTATGTGGGACAAACCGATAACATCTCTCCGGTCCATTGTCTCCAGTGCACCATGCTGCACTTTGCAAACACAGAGAAAGCACACATCGGAAGTATTAATTTCAATCATTTGCACAGCTTTTTTTTTTTTTTTTCTCTTTTAGAGATGATGAGACAACAGCACCTGTTAGTAATCTGTTTAAAGATCTGGAGAATTTCTGGAGTCAATAATAATAATAAAAATCAAACAACTGTTATTCCATGGGTTTTAAGGTTTCGTTTTACTTAGATTTTCTCTTCCTTTTGAATTCATCTGCTCTTGCACATATGGAGATTGATTTTTGCACACGCTGTGTGCTAATGAACGTGAAGCAAGGGATCCTAATTTCACAGCTGCTGGAAATATGCATTTTCTCACTCTTCACTAGTTTATAAAAGCGATTGCAATCTTTCCATCAAACCAGAAAGAGCCAGAATCATAATAATCCTTCCCAAGGGCTTCGGGCGACGACCCGTTCAGCGCAAACTATGATTTTAAAAATTCTTACAACTTTCTAAATTGTTACGTATTCTTCAAAGAAGCATTCTCTTGTTACTGACAAAACTCTCATGAAATATGTCTGTACACTTTGACGCATACATATAAAACACACACGCACTGTACATGTGCCAGCACACACGCACACGCATGCAGACGCAGCTTTCTGGTCAGGTTGCACTTGAGAGGTCCAGTGGTGGCAGCCCGCTCTCAGTGGGGCGTGTATGTGTGAGTGTGTGCAGGCTTGAGTGTGTTGTGTGGGGTCAGACTGGCCCTTGTTGATTTTGGTGCATCGAATTACTGCCCGTCCGTCACAACCAATTAGGGTTTTGAGCTGCTGACACACACAACACGTGTCTGCGTGTGTGTGTGTGCGGCTGTATGTTGCTTACTTCCAGCTGTGGTGTGCTGAAAAGAAGAGCCCAAGTTCACTTTTTGATTTTACCAGCTTTAAGGTGTATCGTCATCATCAGTGTCGGTTTGATGCGTCGGTTTTATAACTGAGTTAAAAGAAGTTTCAAACTAATGCAAAGTATTTTGTTAGAGGCAAGTGATAAGGCATTCACACTCCACTTGTGTTTTCCTGGCAATGTCTCGTGAAATGACTTTCTCTACATCTGGAGACTCCATTACAATTGAATCCTCATGTGTGACCTATGGTACCGTTTAAAGAAATGCTCTGCTAGCTACGAAACCAAAAATGTGTTTTCTCAGAGCACTGCTATTTGAGCTACGTACATCACATTTGCATACGTAGGCTTTTGTTGTCAACATATCCATTCGGAGGGATAAGCTCAGTTTACCAGACATGAAACTGTCATGTTTGATTTTTTTTTTTAATTTTAGGATGTTTTCATGAACTTTCAGATATTTTAGTTGTCATTCAACTTGCCTGGACAGAAACTCCTGCACTTTGCTCAGGCTTCTTCATCCACACAAGACAGGTTGTCGCTCTAAGAAAAGTGTGAACGTGTGAACATAAAAGCAAATCAACACTTTAAGAATCAATGAGAAAGTAAAAAAATCTGAAAGAAAATCAGGTGGTTTATTTTTTTCTTTTCCGGGTTTTTCTTCACGGTTCCATCAACCAGTGTGGAGAAGGATCATTTTCTTGCCCTCACCGTAGGTGTCAAACAGGCCACACACAAATTGTGTGAGTGGAAGCCCACAGTGTGATCTGCACACCCACACTCACAAGTCAGATGACTTACATGAGAGCAAGCGAGAAAAATATTACTGATTTTCTGCAGTTGTCTTTCACTAGTAGTAAAACTGCAAAATAGTATCATGTTTTTATGAGCCAATTTCTGGTTCTTTTTGTGATCTAACACCTAAATGTCATACATTTAAATTGTGGAGTAGCAGATTATCCCCATTTATCCACATTGGTCCTGGCGATCTTAATTTAGGATTGGTGAGTGCAACTTTCAGCAAGATGTTAGAAATTACAGTTTCAAGAACTGCTTCAGCAGCTAATTGTAATTTAGCTGTATTTATTTTGTTTTTCTGTGACAATTACAAATTTGCAAATTTTACCCTGGACGTTTCTGTACTTGTTTGCTGTTGAACCAACAGACATAAAACTCTTAACTTGTGACTTCCAGAAGTGTGCAAAAAAAAAAATATTCACCCAAAATGTAACGGTATTATTCATGTAATTGGTGGTTCAGTTAGTATCTGCTACAAACAGACAAAATGTCAGGGATCTGCTCCCATGTCAAAAATGTGGCTGAGGAATAGAAACTGGAAGAGACCATCAAAAATCACTCTCTTTTTATTTTGTCAATAAAAAAGAAGATGGAGGAAAATACTTACCGTATATTGTGGTTGGGTTACAACTAGCCATGGGTGAAGAAATATGTAGAAAAGAATTACACACTCTGCTGAGAGTAAATCCAGTTATGATTAGGTACTTAGGTGTTTTTATGATAGTGGTAAATTTTCATTGTGTGGCATCTTTTTATTCTTGACTCTGTTCTCAACGAGATGGAATTATGGTACATTTAAGAGATAAAAGATGATTCTGTGAGAAAGCATTTCTTTACATGTAAGAATTCCTGAAGTTGACCACATGCAAAGCATAATCAAAAGGTAGGAGTAGGATATATCAAAGAATGAGTGTGTAACTCTTGCTAAATTTGTCCCAAGCTAAAAAAATAGTGCAGACAGAAAACGTTTCTTTTTTTTTCCAGCATTTTATTAGCCAATCAACCATCAGCGCAAAACAAAATTTCAAATGACTGGTAAATTGATTTCTGCATTACTAACCAATGTTGCAGAAAAACGAGCTCAAAAATAATTTCAGACCAAATTTCAAAGCAATTTAAAAAAACAAAACTTCTGTCTTTGGCTTTTGCATCTTTTTTTTTTTTTTCCGAAACCTACTCCTCTTCTCCCTCTTTCACGTCAAGCTTTGCAATTCCCAGGATGCCATGCGTGAGACGGCGGAGCGGATAATGGAGCTGGAGAAGGCTCTGAGGGATACCATGAACACCTCGGCCCATAGGGAGGCCCTTTGGGCGCAGGAGGAGGCAGCCCGTGTTCAGGCCCAAAGACAGGTTCATATGATGGTGCACACACTTATGGTGGACCACAATCCTGCATATTACAGACCTATAAATGCACACAGCCTCATGTACAGTATCTTTTCATGGGAGCAACACCCCCATGCGGTTACATGTGTATCTGCAGCCTGATTGGTGAAACTTAACTCTTTTGTGCGATATAGTGTGTTACCCCAAAATAATTCTTAGTTATGTTTTTTTTTGTTTTGTTTTGTTTTGTTATTTTTTTTAAAGAAGCTTTTGTCTTGTTTTGCTCATAGCTGAAATTCTAAAGCAAATAATCAAATCAGGAATAATTAAAGTGGTCTGGGTTTATTTTCCTTTGTTAAATGTGTCTGCATGGAAATGTGTGCACATTGAACATGCTGTGCATTCGCGCGTATACAATATATAATATGTATTTTTACAACAAACCGACTTTAGGTCTGCAGACTCGTCTGCCTTTTTTAAACATGCATGTCCTGCTGTTTGTCTATTTTTTCGACTGCTAGATGGTTGCTCTACATATTAATGTGGGCCAATAAAAAAAAAAAAAAAAGAAAAATGAATGTGTGTGCTTTTGAATGTGAGTGTAGGTGTGTCTGCGGTGGGAAAAAGAAACAGGGCAAGGGAGCATGTTTCCTCTCGGTGTGAGTGTGCATTTGAATGAGAATGACCTTGCATTACTTATGAGTGCCACAAGTAATTTGAGAGCTAACGGTGGTTAAAACTAGAACTAACATTATGAGGTAGAAATATGTCTGTATTTCTTTGAGCACACTCTCTACCAGAGCTTGAAACATGAAAAAAGAGAACTGGTCGACAGCAGAGCCAAGTTAGAGAAGGTCAGACTTAGTTTAGAAGATTCTGCCAGAGCCAATGTTAACTGTGGCTTGCTTTTTCCTCTTCTGCATACTTTCACGCTCAACTTACATTCAGCTTGGATACTGTGTTTATTAAACAATATTTTAATCCTCTGAGAAGTCGGAAAGAAATGAAAAGCAGTCTTGAGGAACTTGTTGCATGTGAAGAAGTAGGTTATTTAGCTTTAACCCAAGTTAACTCATGTGAAGAAGAGACAGAACATGAATTGAGACATTAACTCCCAGTGACTCCAAAAGTTCCAGTCAACTTGCTTTTCATTTACACAATTTTAGAACTTTTCTGGACATTAAGAAAATAAGGAGCCATGTAGTCACACTAGCAGTTTACAGTGCTTTGTAAAAAAATACTCTTAAACCTTGAACTTCTTCACTTAGACATATTGCAGATGTAAATAATAGATCAACACAAATTAGTGTGTGAATGTGAAGCCTAAAGAAATACCTCTAAATAACATTGAGTTCCCTTCAGACCATCGCCACAATAAAACACGGCAGTGGGAGTTTTATGTTGTGGGGATCCTTCTTTTTTTTTTTTTTGGGAGATCGGAAGCAGGATAGATGAAGCTACTAATGAGGCTTCACTGAAAGACAACATGTTAGTACCAATAAAAGACTTGACCTGGTTAAAGGGGTTTACTTTCTGCCAGGGCAATAACTTTAAACATTCACCCAAAGCTACGATAGAATGGCAATCTTAAAATTACTCAATGAAAGTGCAGAACTTAATTCACAAATGTTCTTTTTTTTATTATTTGCTGAGCTTCAGCAGTTTTGACAGTAAAGCATAATAAAATAAAGAACCATTGTTTTAAGATCTTCATTAGTAAGAAAGAAAATATGCTGGAAAGAATATCTCATTTTCTTTCTACTTGCATAATAATGCACTACTTTATTTTGATTAATCACACAAAATAATAATAATAAAAAAACATACATTGTAACTTGTGATTGTAGTCCAACATAATGTTACAAAGTTAAAGGTATCCATCTCACTACAGATGCCCAGACTCTGATGCTCACTGGTAGTTGACAAATTACATTTTTCTAAGGTTTCAGAAAGAAAAGAGAGGAATGTGATTACAGACCAGAAAAAAGGGTCACGTCTGTCGGAAAGACCACCTGACCCTGGCACTGCTTCAGAGTGCCCTACTAAACTCTCATTCTCTCACACCCTCTCTTTTTGTTTGATTTTCTTCTTTATTTCTTCCCTCTGTCCCAGAATAATAAGTCTCATGATGTGTAATGAGCTGAAAATCTTCTGTCAGCCTGACCTGATGAAATGTAACATGGGTAATGCCCCAGGTCACTTTTCTTCACACCCCAATCCTTTAAGTCTCTCACTCTGTCTCTACCCCTTTCAGCTTTTTTCTTTCTCATGAAATCACCTCTACCATCCATCCTTGTTCTTTCCCATTGGCCTTCTTAAGTTGTCTCATGCTATTATGTCCGCGCTGCCTTCCCAATGCATTTTCTGTCGATTTCCCACTTTGGCGTTTGAACTAGGCCTTTGAACCAGGAACATGGCATGAATGCACCAGAGGGATTTGGTCTCTACCTTTGAGCTCTCAATCAGCTTATCAACTAAAGTGTACTAGCCTTAGCCAGCCTTAGTTTGGTTGGAAAGCCTTTTCTTGAAGCTGAGCTAAATTAGCATGCACAGGATCACCCCTAAGCAGATTAAGTCCCTAATTTTTGCTAAAAGTCATTGTATTCCTTATTAATGATGTGATTGTGCAATGACAACTACCCTGGGTGGTGCACTAATGAGGGACTGGCAGGAAAAAAGCTAAAAACTGACAGTCATGGTGGTACATCGAAATCAAGTTACATGTGTGAACCTTGACTTTCAAGATAAAAAAAGGAGTGTATTTGCATACATTGAGGCCTGCAAAAAAAACAACAAAAATCTTTGTAAAATAAACCTTATTGCATAGATTTTAATTTGAGAAAATTTTAAAAACCACATGCCACTTTTCTTCCATGTCATAAGTATGCCCCGCTTTAATTTTGTCACCTCAAATCCCACTAATGTACAGGGAAAGTTGTGCTTTTAACTTGACACAATGTGAACAAAGTTCAAGAGGTATCAAGACAGTTTTTCCTGTGTACCATAATTTAAATTCACACAGCCACATGTCTGTCTGCATCATACGGCGGAACTGCTGTGATTAATTGATAAACTAAAATAAAAATTCTTCACTTCCATTAATATTCTTGGTATTCGCTTACAGTCTTTGAAATCTTGTTCCATATGTGATATTCATGAGCATCTGACATCTGTGAAACACACCTAGAAAGCTGGAGGACATACAGTGTCCCAAAAATGTGTGAACGATTTGGTTCCTTCATAAAAGATGCCCCTTGCCTTTTTCATGTCTGACCTCTGCTGTTGTTCCTCTAAATGCTATCCTTCTGGTTCTTTCTTCCTTGTATCTCTTTTAGTCGACTGTCTTTTAGGCTTGTCGTATAATAAATCTTCAAAGTAACAGAGTCAAATAAAGATAATGAGACACTCTTTTATTTTTATCTGAACATCTTGACTAGCTCTGCATCCTATTGTGAAGTAGTTGTTGTTGAGCAATTAGAGCCCTTCCTGTGTTCGGATAAAGATGCCCTGAGGTCACATCCTGTCTATCAGGCACTCCGCTTGGACACATAGGCTCGCATTGGCTGGAGGGCATGAGTGTGCAGAGGGAGGAGATGCACTTGAGAGCTTGAACATTATCTTCAGTAGCCCTGAAGTAGTACCACACTTATGAGGAAGATGAAATAAGTGGTGAAAGGAGGCGAGTAGAGGGGAAAGTCGTTTCCATCCCAAGGGTCATTGAACATGCCATTCAACTAACCTATGAACCACAATAATTTTACCTCCTTCAAGATGTCGACTGTCCATTGATTTCCATGTTTAGGCTGTCATTTCATCTCATCTTAACCATTTAAGCACTCACAGGCTTTACTGCTCACAGCCCACATGCAGTGAGGGGGCAAAACTGATCTTTTGTGTTTTACTCTAAAATAAATGAGTTGCGCTGAATCCCCTTTTCCTTGGTCTTCCTACAGTTAACTCTAAACCAATGCTTTGGAAGTTATATCAAGAAGAGTAATGCAATCATATATATATATATATATATATATATATATATATATATATATATATATATATATATATATATATATACTTGTCCTGTGTAAAAGTTGTTTTATATTCCTAAACCAAAAAAATAGTTTTTTTTTCTCTTGTTTGTGAAGAACTGATCGTACTTGTGATCAAGAAATATTTACATCTAGAAATAATTAATCTTTGCTTTTTCATTATAAGTGGGAACACATTACAGGCAAAAATAGATTAACAGAGCGGGCTCCTATGCCTTCATGTCCAAATGTGCTCTGTTTTTAAAGTTCATTAAGCTTTGCACTGCTAAGCAGGAATATCCGAGACACCCTGCCTCTTATAAACACTCTTCCGGGTGAAAGATGAAGACCTCAGGGTGAAACGGGCTTCGGCTCTAGCCACTAAAATCAGCACTTTAGAACATAGCAATATGGTTATTGTGGGAAGTTCTAACACCTATAAACCTGTTGTCCCCTTAAATAGTTGGAGGAGCTGATGGGAGCTTTAGAGAAGACTCGCCAGGAGCTAGATGCCACTAAAGTACGTCTGTCCTCCACTCAGAAGTGCCTACATGATCGAGATGGACACCTCAATCAACTGCGGCAGGAGAGACGCAAACAGCTGGAGGAGATTCTGGAGATGAAGTAAGCTCACCAGCTGAAAGTACATTACCTTCCACTTTAGGTCAGTTTATATCAAAATATTACACAAGTCCAACACACCACTCTGATTCGTACGTATATAGAAATCCCTACCTAAACCGCTTCAAGCTAAAACTAAATGATGGATGTTAGGTTGCTTTTTGGACCCCTTCAGACATCTTTGTTCTTCCACTTTTAAATGTATTCTAGCTTCAACATAGCTGGTTCAATGATTTAATTTCCTTCTCAGCGTGTCATCAAGTTCAACAGACGGCCATTAATGACCCATCAGTTTAAATCAGGTTTGTTGAAGCAGAAAAACATTTCAAACATCCAGGGCAGTCAATCCTGGGGACCAGAGATGGGAAACACAGTATTTAAAGGCATACATGCAATATAAAAGATAAACTGAGTCGACAGTTGCTAATTATTAGTTATTTCTCACTGCTGACCTAGTTTCCCTCTTTTAGCTTGTATACAGTTATATATATATATATTAGTTATTTGCAAAGTATCAATACTTCTTAATTTTTTTATGTATTATGTTATATTATGTTTTGAGATACACCAACAAATAGTTATGCATAATTGTGAAGTGCAAGGAAAATTATGGATGTTTTTGAAAACCTGTTTTCCATATTTCTGTAAATTATGTACAAACAAATTCAGCGCCTTGATTTACAAGTTACTAGTATTCCTCTACCAGCTTTGCACAACAGTCCAGAATTGTCTAGATTCCCATGTGTGAGTGTGTATGTCAGTGGGTATGTGTGACATGCTTTCAGTTATCTGACTAAAGGACTAAAACCACATATCTGCTTGTCATGTGCTGCAAAGAAATGCTTTTAATGTGAGCCACAGTAGAGAGAACATTGGCACATGTACACTGAAAAGACAACTTTTAAAGTCCATTATGGTGCTTTGATCACACAAAATACTGAAAGAATGTGTACACAGGGTAGTACGTCTGCCGTGTGTGTGTGTGCGTGCGGGTGAGCAACTGTTTGTGTCTGTTAGAAGAGCGCGCAGCTGCCAAAAGCATACCCTATGCATGTCTCTGTTGTAATACAAACCATCTTCCTGTCTGTTTTGATTTCCGACGTCTAATTTTACCAGGAATGTTAATCAGGAAGCATGTTTTTTAAATAATAAAGACACAATCTGTGCTCAAGGTGTCTCTAACAGAACTGCTTTGTGACCCAGCATGTGAAACGCATCCATGCCGTCGTATGGCACTGTGCTTACGCTGGTATTCTATTACCATCAGAGGGTGCGCCTGAGAGGAAGACGTTTAGTGTGATGGTTGGTTGACATACACAGCAACAACGTCTATTGGAATCTTTCCCTTTGTGTTCGAGCCTCTCCCTAGTCTAAACTGGTAGGAGTTAATGAAGGGGGCACAGGGGGCATGAGTGTGTGTGTGGTCTGTTATGCATTGTATTCTATGTGCATGAAGAGGTTGGGAGCTGGGGGGTTTGGGGTCACTGATGATGAGGATTAAAGAACTGTTGAATTGCGAGGGGGCAAAGCTTCGTGAGACAGAATGGGCCACAAAGATATGCATGCAAAATGTACGCACAACCTCAGTGGAACTCGCATGTAATCACTCACGTCTGCAGACATGCACATACTTACACAAACTGTGGCTTTTTGCTTTTAAAGAAAAGGGGGCTATACTCCCCACAGCACAGCTCTGGCCCAAGTTAGCGGAGAGAAAGCTAAGCAGCAAAGACACAGGGCAGAGAAAGAGGGGCAACAAGAGGGATAGATAGGAATAATTCAGGAATGAAGGAGGACAGGGCAGAGTGAATGGGATAGAATAAAGGGGCTGCACAAACTAAGGTATTCCAAATCTTAGGAATCATGATAGAAGTTTGACAGAATGCCAGGATTCTCTCTCTCTCTCCTCTATAATGTGGCATTTGTCTAGGTCAACTGAAGCAAACTGTGTGAGGTATGTTCCACAGCGAGCCAGGGAGGCTCTGTATGAGCCTGTGTGTTTTTTTGTTTTTGTGTGTGTGTGTGCTTGTAAGCCAGAAGGAGAGAGAGAGAGAGAAAAAAAAAAATTTTGGCTTTTCAACACTGGTAATGCATAAAAGAGACAAGGAGAGAGAAATCATATTCAATATCCTCTCATGGCCTGCTGGGTTTCCTTAGCTCCCAATGTTTATGTGTGTGTGCGTGTGTCTGTGTGTGTAAATGTTAGAGAGAGCTTATTATTATCGTTTTCGGATATGGAGCTGAAGGCTTGATGTATAAGGAGCAATACGGGTCTCTTCTATCACCCCACACCAGATTAAGTTTCCACCGTACTGTACAGTGTTCACACACACAGACGCAGATGGTCTCCTGAGGAGCTACTCATTAAATAATTCTGGGGTCACAGGGTGTAGGTGCGCAATAGAGAAATGATGTGTTTGGACGTTTTGAATAGTCCATCATTGAGATGTTTCTATAGTCAGAGTTGGATAACACTTCATGCCATTACATCGCAGATTCTGAAACTAATCCTTATGCAGACGTTAAAAACGTGGGTGAGCTTACTTGGGTTTACATTTTGCGATGGGAATTGATAAGAAAAAAGGTGGGGATATAATTGGAGATAGTAAAACGAGACAAAAAGAGGGTAGAGGTCGGTTATACTTAGTATAATGACATGCAGGAATTATAGGAAAAGCTGAACACATAGCACAAGATAAGTTGTAGAAAAGTGCATGGGCAAAAGTTGTAAAGGAATGGAAAAAAGATGATGTAGAAGGAAAAGTAGGGAGGATGGTGATGGAGAGAGTGTTGGATGAAAAATATGTGGAGTATTGCGTGGAGCCGTGAAGGGTGGGAGGGAACAAAGTGTGGCTGGCATAAAATGACACAAGGACGGGTATTGAGAAGAATGACTGAACACAGCCTAGCTGTCAACAGAAAAATGTAATTGTGTCAAAATACTAGGTTCTTTGATGGAAGGTAAGCAAAACGTACTTTAATGTAAAATGCTACTTTTTTATTTGATTTTTTTTTACCAGTTAGTAGGTCCTACGAGGCAAGATGTGCATTAATTGAGAATTGCAAAAGCTTCTGATGTATTTCTGGCCGGACATTTGACCACTCTTCTTAGCTGAATTGTTGCTGTAATTTGAATTGGTGTGTTTTCTCAATGAGTTCAACTTTCAGTCATCTTGCTGTTGATTTGAGGTGAAGTTCAGGAATTTTGAGGACACTGCCCTGGCGGAGGACCTTTCATTCATCATTCCGCCTATCTAAAACTTTGTTTTAAAACTTTGTTTTAAATATTACTGGCAGAAAAAAAAAAAACTCCCCCAAAATATGATACTATGACCACCACCGCCATCTTAAAGAGCCGGTACAAGGCTCCAGGGTTTGAAAGACTCAGCTTGACTCTTCCATTTTGGTTTAAATTTTGGGATTGTTTTTTTTTTTTTTTTTTAACTGGTATCCTGTGATTTCAAACTCAATTCATTTTGGACTGTGACACTGGTGTTCCAGTAAAATCAAACTTAATATTATGTTCCTGGGTTATTTTTGAACTTCCCAACCAATTCCTGTTTTATCGAGGCTGACAGTTTGTTTCAAAGAGTTGAAATTTGGACAGAGCTGGTTGTTCTGACTGGTCAATGATCCCCAAAACACATCAAACCATGATTTACAATGTATATGGCAGGCTATCATTAAAGGCCTTCTCAAAGTACTGAACTCACGCCTATTAAAAAATCTGTATTTGTCTTTAAAGCCTGGACTTTGGCAATCCAACTTGTTGCCAAGGACTCAGAGGGTGCTCAAATACCCAACCTGGATTATGTTCAGACTTTGTCGATGGCAACAAGAAGTGTGTAATCAAGGTGCAACTTGCGAAAATGAACTAAAGCAACAATTAGTAGTTGTCTTTATCTATAATGTTACAACATTATGACTCATTGAAACTTCATATGGTTCTATAGTTACGCTCTTTGACTACACTGCGTTACTAAGGAGAGGCAAAGAAAAAAAACAAACATATTTTTACAAACATGTCTCTAACTCTAATCCTCTTCAGCCCTTGTTGATGTCCTTGCATGTAGCTCCTAAAGACAGGTTTTTAAAGCATTTTCTGGGCCTACCACGCTGCCTCTGTCAGTTTACGGTCACTGCTGTTTCTTTCTCTTCAAGATATTTCTCACTGACTTAAATTCTGCTAAGTATTCTTTCTTTAATGGTTCTTTCTGCTACGGTAAAGTTCTCGTAAAAATGGAGGTACAAACTGAATCAAATATATATTTTGACTTCCAATGCTTTTCTACAATTGAGTTTGTTCTTGATAGGTAAAGATAACTTTTGTGTTGTACGACATTGTGAAATGCCTCAAATCCCCATTGAGGAGTCTTGACCAATACCTAAATAACATATGTATTTAACTCAAATACACATATTACTTATGTATGTTGCACCAAGAAGAAGTGGTATGCATTGTTAAAGACTGTTATTATAGATTTAAGTTGCCTTTCACAGAAGTCTTGCTGGTCAGTGCTCTTGTAATTGCACCGTTTGGCACTCAGATGCTATTCACTAAAAATATAATCTGTACCAAAGGAAAATCAAGTATTTTACACAGTGGAAATGAAATGAGATTTAAACTCTAACCCCAAATTAAGTTGTGTTCATTATATACTCACATAGCCATTTAGTTACACTATTTTATGGCATAACGAAGCTCAAAGGAGTAGCAACATTATGACTTTAAAATCCCCCATGTAGACATCCTGTCTGCAAAGCTCCATCGCCATGGTTACTCTGACTAAACAGGCAGAGAGACCAGCTATACTGGTAAGGTCATGTCCCCGCTCACTGATCTCTCCAAGGGGCCTTGACACACACAGACACACTAACACACACAGAGAGCTTGCAAACTCTTACATGTGTGCAGCCTGTGCACACACATAGTGAATCATGTTTGCATCTCAAAAAAAGCATTCCAGTATATAATCCTGAACAACGTTGTACTGCAGAGAACA